CAAACGTTCTGGAAAATATTAGCGTTTCGTGTTCGTTTTGACTTCGTGTGGATGGGGCCTTAATCCTGAACAGACTCCCTGGTACTGGTGAAGGAAAGCATCCCACAGCATAATGCTGCCACCGTTGTGTCTGCATGTGGATGAAAGCTGGTCTTAATCAGAACACCTTCTCTGCTGTGGTCAAGCTTCTAATGATTTTCTTTGCACAAAGTCCTTCTAAGAACAGAACCTAAGTAATTGCTTTGTTCCTCCCACTCCTCTGCAAAAGCCCTGTGTGTATTTAGCTGATAGTTATCCTGTTTATTTAATTTATCCTACCTGAGCAGCAGACCTCTGCAGCACCTTCACAGTCAACATAGGCCTCTTACGCTGCAAAAACAATCTAGAAATAAGTCAAAATGTCTTAAATTAAGTGTGAATACCCTCAATTTGAGCAGGTAAATAAGATGATTTGGCAATGGAATGAGTATTTTTACTCTTACAATAAGGTAATTAGATAATATGCACTTAAAATAAGACAATTCAATATTTTATTTGTTATTTTGAATATTTTGAATGTAAATGTAAAAAACGTACTTATCTAGATTTACATTATTTTCCAGTTTAGTTGCACTGCAAAAAACGATTGAGAAATAAGTAAAAATGTGTTAAATTAAATGTATTTACCTTTAACTTGAGCAGTTACACTGCAAAAAATGGAAATCTAATTAAGCAATTTTTACTTAAAATAAGTGCATATTTTCTCCAATTTGGTACGAAAGTGAGACATTTTGCCAATGGAACAAGACAATTTACATTTAAAATAAGAAAAAACAATTGCATTGTCTTATTTCAAGTTCATATTATCTAATTATCTTATTTTAAGAGTAAAGATACTAATTCCATTGGCAAATCATCGTATTTACCCACTCAAATTAAGGGTAAATACACTTAATTTAAGAAATTTTTACTTATTTCTAGATCATTTTTGCAGTGTAAATAAGATTATTTGCCAATGGAATGAGTATTTTTACTCTTAAAATAAGATAATTAGATATTATGCACTTAAAATAAGATAATGCAATTGATTTTTCTTATTTTAAATGTAAATTTTCTTGTTCCAGTGGCAAAGTGTCTCACTTTCCTTCTCAATTCAATAATAAATGCACCAATTTTGAGAAAAAATGACTTACTTAGGTTTCTAGTTTTTTGAAGTGTAACAACTTTGCACTGCAAGAAATAGAAATCTAAATGAGGCGTTTTTTCTTAAAATGAGGGCATTTTTTTCTTAATTTACAGAGGTAAAGGAGAAACTTAGCCAATGGACATTATTTTGACAATGTTTTGCAATGTGGTTGGACAGAGACATTGCTTTAGCACTGCAAAAAAATCTACATCTAGATAAGTCATTTTTTTCTTTAAAAAAAGTGCATTTGTTCTTGAATTGAGGAGGTAAAAGAGACATTTTGCCAATGGAACAAGACAATTTAAACTTAAAATAAGAAAACGCAATTGCATTGTCTAATTTCAAGTGCATATTATCTAATTATCTTATTTTAAGAGTAAAAATACTCATTCCATTGGCAAACTATCTCATTTACCTACTCAAATTAAGAGTGAATACACTTAATTTAGGAAATTTTTACTTATTTCTAGATAGTTTTTGCAGTGAGAGCATTTCTCTGCTTTAAAGTTGTCATTTGTCCTTCAGCAAACCTCTGGTTGCCCCAGACGCTCAGTTTAATGCTGTGACTGGGTGACCTCTGAGGACGGGGACTTTGTTCAAAATGAATCGCAATTATTTTACTTCAGCAACATATTTTCCCTTTAGGTTGAAAACCATTCAATCCTTTGTTTGGAAGGTGGAACAGCTGAAGTGCAGTGAAGATAGAGGAGAAACCTGCCTGTTCCTCCTGGGCTTTTCTCCCTGTAAGGATCTAAATCCAGATATTCCTCTTCTTTGCTCTCTCTCCAGTCTGGACCTTTTTCCTGAAAGGATTTTTTTTTTTTGGGCCACGTGTCAACTTGCAATTATTTAAAGTCCCCTGAAGAAATGATGGACTGGGAGCATTAGGCAGCGTCCCAGCTCTAATAATACAGCGTTTCTATTTTACCGTATGGCCAGCAAACCCACCCACATGGCCACACACACACACTAACACAGCATCAGGACCCCCCCTCCCCCCACAGACCCTGATCCATCTCCTCCATTGTTTTAATCAGTCAATTCCGATATTTCTATTTCCTCCTCATTAATCACTCGGCTCCCAATCCTCCAGGCTCTCATGGAGTGAATTACACACTGGAGGACCGAGCCAATTGAAGTAAGTGAATTTTCCCCAACAGGGAAATATAACTGTCAACACGGAGCAGCTCTCTGCGACCGGCGCTCCTCTCCCTCCGTCTCCAGAGCAGCCTGTCTTCTCCGGCATCTTGTGAGTGGATGATCTGGTTTGGATGATGTGATGTTTCCTCAAAACCTCTAATCCCTCTAATATGATTGAATGGTGATATTAAAATAAGATCTGTGTGTTTTGGCAGGTTCTGAGTGTTTCAGCGTACTAAAGCTCGCATGCATTTCGGCGGCGCAGCCTACATGTGTGCGTTTGGCCCCCATCCTTGCAGCAGCAGTGCGGTTTTGGGGGCGACACATGGAGTTTCCTGTGTTCAAAGTCAACCCGTCATTATAACAAGCCAGGCTTCCTCTGAGCGCAGGAAACGCCGTCCTTCTCCCTCACAAGCCATCCTCCATCCACATCTTCTTCTTAGCGTGTTATCGTTCATTCTGTCGTTTCCCAGCGGTCGGACCTGACCCTCCAGCTGATTTGTTAACTCTTCTTAACCACAGAAGGATTATCTTCACAAACTCTTCAAACCCACAGAAACGGTTTTGTTTTGCTCAAACAAAATAATAAAAAAAAAGATCTAATGTTGGAATATTCCAGCATAAATTTGAAACAAACCACATAACGTCAAATAAATTGATCGGTTTTCATCATTGTGCTGCACGTTTAAAAAGGAGCTCTATGAAAAAGCTTTAGTCAAAATTTCCAGAAAGCAGCCATAAAAGAAAACCTTCTATGTCCCTTTTTTACAGCGAGACATAACTGCCAATAGAGACACTAAAATATGACATCTTTTCTTAACTGGGGCATAAATTAATCCAGGATATTACCAGACATTTCTCTTTCAAATGCATCCGAATGGAAAAAAAATAAAAAAATCACATTGGAAAATCTTTCACAGACACTCTTTTTTTTTTTATTGAACCTCTAACACCAGTAGGACTTTGATCTGCTGAAGAAATTCTGCAAAAAATTTTTAACAACAACCTATTTTACAATATAAGCTGCATTATTTGTAGACATAAAGGCTGTGATGCTACATGTAGCACCAAAACCCAAACATGCAGACATAAAAAAAAAAAAACATAATCGTCTGCATGCGAGATCACCTGCATGATTTGATCTTAAGCAGCTCAGTAATGCTGAAGTGGCCATTTGTTTTCTTTACCAGAGTGGAAAATATTTCAGTCCTGCAAATATGGAAAGCCATGAGGGTCACAAAGTGTGCATGAAACCGCAATGTCTGGCAGAGACTTTTAGACTCTAAATAGGCTCTTAGAAACTTACTGAACACCTCAGGTGTCAAACGGGTGCTGAGGAAAAACACTGATTAGAACCAGAGGATGTTTTCCCATTTCCTGCTGGGAAGTTAATAGGAATCTTGTTTTGCTACTGTTAGCTTGCTAGCCAGCTAGCTAGCAAGAGTACAACGTTTTTTATGTTTAAAAACTTAAAACATCAAAATATCTGCTTGAAATGTGTAACTTAAGATGAAAATCATAGGCGTGTTTTGACTTTTCTGTTTCATTAGATTTTTTCCTTGCTAACTTCTGTGCTAATTGTGGAGGCTGCTCCAACCAATGACGTTATTACTCAGGGTTAGCGTCTTGTGAATGATGTCTCTGCAGCGTGGTTTGGCGTTATACAGTAACAGCCAGAGATGGCAAAAGTACTCACTTTCCGTACTTGAGTAAAAGTACAGATACTTGTGTTAAAAAATACTCTGG